AAGGAAATGAGGAAGGTAGCTCTAATAGATAACATACTGTATGGCTTCTAAATTAAATCAATGTGAATTGAATAAATGGACTGACAGCCCAATGGCACAATAAAATCCAAAAGTAGACTTAAATGTATGTAACAATTTCTGCATTTTAAATAACTGGGGAGAAAACAAACTTTTCAACAAGGTGTGTTAGTGTACTAGAGAAATATTGAAAAAAGATGAATTAGGTTCTTATTTCAAAGACCTGAATTTTTAAAATGAAAACAAAAAAGAAACTCTATACGTACTAAAAATAAATGAATTCTTCTATACACTAGAATGAAAAAGAAACCTCTCCCAACTAAAATTCTTGAAGTTATTAAGAAAAAAGACTGATAAATTGGACGCCCAAAATGTGATGCAGCAAAGAAAACTCATAAATTCAAAAGAAAAATAAGAAATATAGAGAAAAAAGGAAAATATTTGCTTTGCCACTGTATTCAGTCTTTTTTTCCAACTTGATCTTAAATTTGTTTTAATAAAGAGGTTGAATAAAATGATTTTTAAAGTTCCTTGAATTTCAATATATTAGAATTCTAGAATGCTTCAGCTACCTAAGTAAAAGAAAAATTTAGTTATATGCTTGGAGTTAATATTGCTCTTTTTTTCTATTTGATATTTGTTTCCCTTTAATTCCTTTATCTAATCATAAAATACAGCACCTATTCCCACTATTTCTTTTCCCTCTCTTGTGCAACCACTGATAGCCTTCAGTCTTCATTCCTCCTCTCAGCATGATAATCATGCTGTCAGCTCATGAGAGCTAGTCAAGCTTCATGAATTAGAATTTCTGTTCCCTCAAGCACCTCACTGTTCAGGAACTTTGGAACTTTAGAAAGAGTGAATAGGCAACAGCTGATTAAGGTCACTGGGTTTGCAGTGCAGGGTTCATTACTGTTAGCTCAGGGAGCTTTACCTTTGGGAAATATGGTAGAAAAAAACCTCCAGTAATAGGAACTAAGTTATGTGGCTTTTGATGTGTATAAATTCTAGTTGTGATAAGGAGGTGTAGAAGGATGAAGAAGCAGAGGTGGTAAACAAATAATATTGCCATCAGAAGTCTTTTTGTCAATGATGACTATAGATACAAGATCTTTCATGAAGGAAAAAGGAAGCTTATTATGATTTTTTTCTAGATAAATTTATTTTAGCTGTTAATAATATATTTATTCCTCAAAAGATTTGAGATTGCTTAAAATAAAAGGTCAATTTCCAAAGAAAAATACATACAGGTACAAATAGTACATTGAATATAAACAGTTTAAAACTATGTACTCATTTTATGCATGATATTGTAGAATCTAAAGAGGGAAATAAATATTTAGTTATATAATTTTCATTGTCAGTTAAAATAAGCCCACCAGCTTTTTCAGAGAGAGAAACATTTATTCTACTGCCAGATTCTTATAGTAGTTTGTTTATTCCAGGAGTCCTTATATAGGAAATGGGAAGGAAAGATTTAATAGTGAGTCTGTAAAAAGTTTCCTTTCACCTCAGGAATACCGGAGGGAAGATTGACCTGAATCTTTGCAAACATTGACTGATGGAATACACAGGCTAAAAGATAAAGGACTTATAGAAAAGCTTTTACAAAGGTATACCTAATTTGTCCACTTTGATTATTATAAAGGAATCTGAAATTTATGGAATTATATGCTGCATCTGTGATGAAGAGTGGGATTTAGTTCTATAGCCAGAAAAGGACTATGTTATTAATGAGATGTATAATTTTATGAGATCCCAAGCTCAGTGGTTTCCCCGTGTTAACTTGACTGGTACCTGATTAGGTGATGTAACTGAAAGCAAATGAACCCAGTGCAGAAAAGGAAATTCTGAAAACTGCGTCTGATGTTTGAGGTCTTCTGAATATCCATGCTACCGGCACCATTGTTTTGAATTCTTTGTGAATCAATAATTAAGTTTGAGGTGGAGGAAGACTGATTTCATATGAATCTGATTGATAATTCAGGCCTCTGGAATTTTAAAAATATAATGAACAGTATAAGCAACATGATCTGTTTTCTTTTAGAGAGGATGCCAACACATTTTTCACATAATTATTCTTCACAGAGGAACTTCACAGCAGCTGAGGGCTCAGCACAATGAAAGTCAAGTGTTTCAATGCAGACTTAGAGTTCCTGGGGACAAATCATGTGGCTTTTTGAAGATTGGGCTTAGTTTAAGGCTAGAACTTCAAAAACCAAGAGCAATGAATTGCTAGAATGTTCTATAGATTTATTTTCAAATACTAATGGTCTTAACAGGGCCTATATCAAGAGCTCTGCAGGAACCTATTTGTGATAGAGCTTTGTAGAGAATGCCTGCAGTGTTAAGTATTTGCTGATTGAAAAACAGGTCATTAAGGTTTAGAGACAAGATGTACAATGTTAAAGTTGACATTGTTGTAACATTTTAAACGTTGATTATATTGAGGGTGTCCTTATAGCTAATCGTTACCCATTCTAGACGCATTCAAATAAAAGTTAGAATCATTCTTTAAAATTTTTTTAAAATTGGTATGGGTACATGGTAGGTGTATATATTTATGGGGTATATTAGATGTTTTATTACAGGCATACATTGTGTAATGATCATATCATGGTAAATGAGGATATCTATCTCAAGCATTTAACATTTCTTTGTGTTACAAACATTCCAATTATACTCTTTCAGTTATTTTTAAATGTACAATAAATTATTGACTGTAGTCACTGTTGTGCTATCAAATACTAGATTTTATTTATACAAAATATAAATAGGTACTATCTTTTTGTACCCATTAACTATCCCCACTGCCTCCCTACCATTCTTTCCAACCTCTGGTAACCATCATCTACTCTCTATCTCTGTGAGCTCTATTTGTGATAGAACCTTCTAGAGAATGCCTACAATGTTAAGTATTTGTTAATTGAAAAATAGATCTATTTTTAGCTTCCACAAATGAGTGACAACTTGCAAAATTTATCTTTCTGTGCCTGGTTTATTACACTTAATTTAATGTCCTCCAGTTCCATACATGTTGCAAATAATAGGACCTCCCTTTTTAAAGGGCTGAATAGTACTCCATTGTGTATATGTACCAAATTTTCTTTACCCATTAGTCTGTTGATAGATACTTCGGTTGCTTCCAAATCTTTGCTGTTGTGTATAGTGCTGCAATAAATATGGGAGTGCAGATATCTCTTCAATATATTGATTCCTTTCTTTTAGGTATATACCTAGCAGTGGGATTGTTGGATCATATGGTAGTTATATTTTTAGTTTTTTGAGGAACTTCCATACTGTTCTCCATAGTGGTTATACTAATTCACATCCCCAGCAACAGTTTCCAAGGGTTTCTTTTTCTTCTCATCCTCTGCAGCATTTGTTATTGTCTGTCTTTTGGATAAAAGCCATTTTAACTGGGATAAGATAATATGTGGTAGTTTTGATTTGCATTTCTGTGATATCAGTGATGTTGAGCACCTTCTTCTTTTTATATACCTGTTTTCCACTTACTCATTTTCTTTTGAGGAATGTCTATTCATCTCTTTTGCCTATTTTTTAATTGGATTACTAGATTTTCTTTTTAAGCTTCCTATATTCTACTTATTAATCCCTTGCCAGATGGACAGTTTGCAAATATTTTTCCCATTCTGTGGGTTGTATCTTCACTTAAGCTTTTTAACTTGATGTGATCTCATTTGTCCATTTTTGCTTTGGTTGTCTGTTTGTGGGGTATTACTAGAGAAATCCTTGCCCAGTGCAGTATCTTGGAACATTTCTCTTGTGTTCTATATAATAGTTTCATACTTTGAGGTCTTAGATTTACGACTTTATCCATTTTGATTTGATTTTTATACATGGTGAGAGATAGGGTCTAGCTTCATTCTTATGCATACAGATATCCAGTTTTCCCAGCATCGTTTATTGAAGAGACTGTCATTTCACTAGTGTATGTTCTTGACACCTTTGTAGAAAATGAGTTAACTGAAAATATGTGGATTTGTTTCTGGGTTCTCTCTTCTCTTCTGTTAGATTAGGTGTCTTTTTTTATGCCAGTAACATGCTGTTTTGGTTACTGTAGCTCTGTAGTATAATTTGAGGTCAGGTAAAGTGATTCCTCCAGTTTTATTCATTTGCTCAGGATAGGTATATCTGTTCTGGGTTTTCTGTGGTTCTGTATAAATTTTAGGATTTTTTTTCCTATTTTTGTGAAGACTGTTACTGGTATTTTGATAAAGATTGTGTTGAATCTGTAGATTGTTTTCGGTAGTATGGACATGTTAACAGTGTTGATTCTTCCAATTCATGAACATAAAATATCTTACCATTCTTTGTGTCCTCTTCAATTTCTTGCATCAACGTTTTATGATATTCAAGAGATCTTTCACTTCTTTGGTTATGTTTATTCCTAGATATTTTATTTGTAACTACTATAAATGAATTGACTTTCCTGAGTTCTTTCTTAGATTTCTGTTGGCATATAAAAGTGCTACTGATTTTGTACATTGATTTTTGTATCCTGCAACTTTATTTGATCTGTTTATCAGTTCTAATAGTTTTTTGGCGGAGTCTTTTGAGTTTTTTCAAATATAAGATAATACCTGTTAACAGGGATAATTTGACTTCTTCCTTTCTAATATGGGTGCCCTTTATTTCTTTCTCTTGGGCAATTGCTCTAGTGAGGAGAACTTCTAGTACTATGTAGAATGACAGTGGTGAAAGTGGGCATCTTTGTCTTGAAACATATCTTAAAGGAAAGGCTTTCATTTTTTCTCAATTCAATATGATGCCAGCTGTGAGTCTGTTTCACATAGCTTTTATTGTGTTGAGGTATATTCCTTCTAAACCCTTTTTTTTTTTTTTTTTTCTGAAGGGATGCTGAATTTCATCCAATGTTTTTCAACATCAATTGAAATGATCACATGATTTTTGTCCTTTATTCTGTTGATATATCTCATTGCTTGATTTGCATATGTTGAACCTTCCTTGCATACCTAAGACAAATCCCACTTGCTCATGATTAATGATCATTTCAATGTTTTGTTGACTTTGGTTTGCTAATATTTTGTTGAGGATTTTCCCATCAATGTTCACCAGGAATATTTTTCTGAAGTTTTCTTTTTATTGATGTGTCTGTACCTGGTTTTAACATCAGGGTAATACTGGCCTTGTAGAATAAGTTTGGAAGTATTCTCTCCTCCTCTAATTTTTGGAATAGTTTGAATAGGATTGGTGTTATTTCTTTAAATGTTTGGTAAGATTCAGCAGTGAAGCTATTGGGTCCTGGGCGTCTCTTTGCTGGGAGATTTTTTATTATGGCTTCAGTCTCATTACTTTTAATTGGTCTGTTCAGGTTTTGGGATTTCTTCCTAATTAAATCTTGGTAGGTTGTATATGTCTAGGAATTTATTTATTCTATATTTTCCAACTTATTTGCAGGGAGTTGCTTATAGTAGCCTCTTATAATGCTTTTAATTTCTATGGTATCAGGCATAATCTTTCTTCTTTCAACTCTGATTTTATTTGGATCATCTTTCTTTTTTATTAGTCTGGTAAAAGATTTGTCAATTATGGGTTTTTTAATTTTGAAAACTAGATTTTCATTTCATTTATCTTTTGTTTATTTTGAAGGGGTTTCACTTTCATTTATTTTTGTTATGACCTTTTCTAATTTTGGGTTTGCTCTTGCTTTTCTAGTTCTTTAAGATGCATCATTAGGTTGTTTATTTGAAGTTTTTCTACTTTTTTAATGTAGGTGCTTACTGCTATAAACTTTCTGCTTAGTACTGCTTTTGCTGTATCCCACAAATTTTTGTATGTTATGTTTTCATTTTCATTTGTTGCAAGTTTTCAATTTCCTTCCTAATTTCTTTCATTGATTTACTGATCATTGAGGAACATATTGTTTAATTTTCATGTGTTTGTGTAGTTTTCAAAAGTCTTCTTGTCATTGATTTCTACTTTTATTCCATTGTGGTCAGAGAAGATGCTTGATATTATTTCAATGCTTTTGGAATTATTAAACTTGTTTGTGCCCTCATATATAGCCTGTTTCTGTTCTAGAGAATGATCCATGTGCTGAGAAGAATGTGTTTTCTACAGCCATTGGATGAAATGTTCTGTAAATATCTATTAGGTCCGTTTGGTTTATAGTTCATATTAAGACCAATGTTTCCTTGTTTTCTGTCTAATACTATGGGTGGGGTGTTGAATTCTACCATTGTTATTGCTTTGGGGTCTATATTTCTCTTTAATATTTGCCTTATGTATTTGAGTGTTCCAGTGTTGGGTATATACATATTTACAATTTTTATACTGTCTTACTGAATTGACCCATTTATTATTGTATAATGAAATTTTTTGTCCCTTTTTATAGTTTTGTCTTGAAATTTATTTTGTCTGATACAAGTATAGCTACTCCTTTTGTTTTCCATTCGCATGGAATATCTTTTTCTATCTCTTATTTTCAGTTTCTGTGTGTCTTTGTAGTCGAAGTGTGTTATTTGTAGGCAAGAGATCAGTCACTCTTATTTTTTAATTTTGATCCATTCAGCTAGTCTATGTCTTTTGATTGGAAAGCTTAATCTATTTACATTAAATGTTAGTATTAATAAGTAAAGACTTATTCTGGCCATTATGTTATTCATTTTCTGCTTGGTTTGTGGTCTTCTTTCCTTCTTTCATTCCTGTCTTCCTTTTTGTGAAAATGATTTTCTCTGGTGGTGTGTTTTAATTTCTTGCTTTGTGTTTTTTGTATATCTGTTGTAGGTATTTTTATTTAAGGTTACTGTAAGGTTTGCAAATAACATAAGCCATTATTTTAAACTGAGACAACTCTGACTGCAAAAACAGAGAAAACTAGTAAAAACTCTATACTTCAACTTCATTCCCCTTGCTTTTTAACTTTTTGTTGTTTCTAGTTGGGGCTGACAATACTGTCTCTGTGTTTAAAAACGTTATTGTAGTTATTATTTTTGATCTTCATATTTTAGTCTTCCTACTTTAGGGTAGTTTGCATACTAAAATTACAGTTTTGTAGTAGTCTGTATTTTTCTGTGCAGTATTACCAGTGAGCGTTGTACCTTCAGATGACTTCTTGTTGCTCATAAATGCCCTTTTCTTTGAGATTGAAGAACTCCCTTTACCATTTCTTATAGGACAGGTCTGGTTTAATGAAATTCCTTAGCTTTTTTTGTCTAGAAAGTCTTTATTTCTCTATCATGTTTAAGGATATTTTCACTGGACATAATATTCTAGAATAAAAGTATTTTTTTTTTTTCTTCAACACTTTAAACGTATCATGCTATTCTGTCCTGGCCTGTAAGGTTTCTACTGAGCTGCTGCCAGATGTATTGGAGCTCTTTTGTATGTTGTCTTTCTCTTGCTGCTTTTAGGATCCTTTCTTTATCCTTGATCTTAGGGAATATGATTACTAAATGTCTTGAGGTAGTCTTACTTGAATTAAATCTCTGTGGTGTTCTATAACCTTCTTGTACTTGACATCTTCTAGGAAAGAAAATTTCTGTTATTAGGTCTTTGAATAGATTTTCTACCCCAATTTTTCTATCTCCTCCTTAAGGCCAATAACTCTTAGATTTTGTCATTTACAGGCTATTTTCTAGATCTTATAGGCATGCTTCATTCTTATTATTTTTTGTTTTATCTTCTCTGACTATATATTTTCAAATAGCCTGGCTTCAAGCTCACTATTTCTTCTGCTTGATCACCTCTGCTGGTGAGAGACTCTAATGCATTCTTCAGTTTGTCAGTTGACTTTTTCAGCTCCCAAATTTCTGCTTTATTTTTCAAAATTATTTCTTTGTTAAATTTATCTGATAGGATTCTGAGTCCCTACTCTGTGTTGTATTGAATCTCACTGAGCTTCCCTCAAAACAGCTGTTTTGAACTCCCTGTATAAATGGTCATATATCTCTGTCACTCTGAGATTTGTTACTGGTGCTTTATGTAGTTTGTTTGGTGAGGTCCTGTTTTCCTGGATGGTCTTGATGCCTGTGGATATTTGTCAATATCTGGGCATTGAAGACTTAGGTATCTATTCAAATCTTTGCAGTCTGGGCTTCTTTGTATCAATCCTTCTTGAGAAGACATTCCAGATATTCAAAAGAAATTAAGTGTTGTGATCCAAGTCTTTGATCACTGCAGCCATATCTGTATTAGGGGATTTCCCCAAGCCGAGTTACACAGTGATTCTTCAAGACCTGTAGGGGTACCGCCTTGGTAGTCTTGAGTAAGAATTCCCTGGATTACCAAACAGAATCTCCTGCTCTGTTTCCTTACTGTTCCCCAAACAAACAGAGTCTCTCTCTTTCTGTGCTGAGATGCCTGGAGTTGGAAAAGGGGTGATGCAAACACTCCTGTGGCCACCACCACTGGGACTACACTGGGTCACACCTGAAGCCAGCATGGTACTGGGTTTCACCCAAGGTCCATGGTGATTACTGCCCGTATACTGCCAATGTTTATTCAAGGCCCAATCAGCTTTTAGTAAGCAAGTGATGAATCCTACCAGGACTGTGTCTTTCCCTTTAGGGAAATAGAGTCCCTTCTCACCAGGAAGGGTGTAGAATTGCCATCCAGGGGCTACGGTCTGGAATTCGGAGCTTTAGGAATTTGTTTGGTGCTTTATTTTACTGTGGCTAATCTGGTACTCAAGGTGCAAGACAAAGTCCACTTTACCTTTTCCTCTCCATTCCTAAAGCAGATGTCTCTGCCTGTAACCACACTGTGCCAGGCCTATAGCAACTACTGCCTTGCTACTGCTAATGTTTATTCAAGGCCCAAGGACTTTTTAGTCTGCAAGTGATAAATTCTGCCAGGACTGAATCCTTGCCTTCAGGTTTCTTCCTGGCCCAGGGTGGGTCTAGAAATGTTGTCTGGGATCTATGACCTAAAATGAGGGCTTCGGGACTCTGCTTGGTGCTTTATTTTACTGTGGCTGAGGTGGCATTCAGCTTACAATACAAAAGTCTCATAACTCTTCCCTCTTCTTCCCTCAAGCAGAAGGAGTCACTCCCAGAGTTACAACTGTGTTGCCTGGAGTTGGGGGATGGGTAATGCAAGCACTCCGTCGATCATCACAGCTGTGTCTCACTTGGTTACATGCACCCCAAGTCCACTAACTCCAACCCCAGCACAGAACCTGGACATGCCCAGGAATTTCAGCCCTTGTGGTCTAGACTACCTTTCAACTTTATTTAGGACCCCAGAGCACTATAGCTTGTGGTGAAAGACTATTTAGAACTCAGGTTCTGATTATTGGGATGGATGATTTCCTCTGATTAGGGCTGGTCTAATTGCTTCCTCCATGGCTGCTGGCTGAATTCTGCCATGTGTTGCATTCCACTGTGATAGAGCAGCACTGCGTTCCAATGCAAAGTCCCATAATCACTTTACTCTTCCTCCCCCAAGCACACAGTGTCTCTTCACGACACACAGCACTGCCAGGGGATGTACTCCATCCCCTGGTCTTGGCAATTCAAGACTGTCTTTGTAACCCACTTCAGTGCCTCTTTCCTTGATATGATGTCAAAATGAGATACTATGATTATTCACCTGATTTTTGGTTCTTAATGTAGTGCTTTCTTGTGTGGAGAGTTTTTCAATTTGGTATTCCTGTTGGGGATGGGTGACAATCACTGGAGGGTTCTCTTTGGCCATCTTGCCTTGCCTCCTCTCTCCAGAATCATTCTTTTATGAATATTACTTACAGAAAGTATTGTATAGAGTATGGCTTATAAGAGTATCCTCTATATATGCTTTGTTTTATAAGTTATGTACAGAGTACTTGTCTGTTGTCCACTTTTTTTTTTTTTTTTTTTTTACAACTCAAAACATTTTTCCCAAGTAAAAATTCCTGCTGGGTAAAGAAAGCATGATCCAGTGTGGGGAAAAAATGTTTTCCCCTCTTATAATTTACTTTGTCAATAAGTGAGTGGCTTTTTTTTTATTAGCATGCATCCATTCCCAAGAGCTTATTAGGTTAAATTTATATTTTTTACTCATAAACGTGAGTAGCAGACCCTAGATTTACACAGAGCCTATCTAGGTGGAGATGCCCTGGGAGGCCTTACCTGCATTCTGAACACTTCATTGGTTCTAAATAACAGGAAAATACTTACTCATCAGGAAAAGAAAATAGAGCAGGGAAGACTAAAAAATGAAATATCTTAGAGAAGTGAGGTTGAAAAAAGAGATTAGGATATCTTTTGAGTAATGGTTCTCTAAGATCTGCTATTAAACTTATTCGGTAAATTCATTTACACATTCTGAATATATTGATTTTATTCTGCAGTATTGTTTACATCATTTCTAAAGAAGTAAATTTACTCAAATCTTTTCAACTGGCAAATGCTTTTTTTAAAAAAAATATATTTTATTGCACTTTAGGTTCTGGGGTACATGTGCAGAACATGCAGAATTGTTGCATAGGTACATACATGGCAATGTGGTTTGCTGCCTCCATCCTCCTGTCACCTATATCTGGCATTTCTCCCCATGTTATCCCTCCCCAACCTCCCTACCCCTACTTTCCCTCCCCTATTCCCCCTCAACAAACCCCAGTGTGTGCTGCTCCCCTCCCTGTGTCCATGTGTTTTCATTGTTCAACACCTGCCTATGCGATGTCTGATCTTCTGTTCTTTTGTCAGTTTGCAGAGAATGATGTTTTCCAGATTCATCCATGTCCCTACAAAGGACATGAACTCATAGTTTTTTATGGCTGCATAGTAATCCATGGTGTATATATGCCACATTTTCCTTGTCCAGTCTATCATCAATGGGCATTTGGGTGCTTCCAGGTCTTTGCTATTGTAAACAGTGCCACAATGAATATATGTGTGCATGTGTCTCTATAACAGAATGATTTATAATCCTTTGGCTATATACCCAGTGATGGGACTGCTAGGTCAAATGGAATTTCTAGGTCCTTAAGGAATTGCCACACTGTCTTCCACAATGGTTGAGCTAATTTACACTCCCACCAACAGTATAAAAGTGGCAAATGCTTTTTAAGTGGCTTTGTGAAAGGGATAAAAGTACATAGTTGACAAGATAGGGCTCCTTCCCTTGGGTTTCCCATTACCTCAAGGGAGAGACAGACATTTAATTAAACACTCAATTGATTATAGAATTATAATTGTGATAAAAACCTCAGAGGAGAGGAACTATGTGCAATAAAAGGCTATAAATAGATGGCCTGAGAAATGCAGAAATGTAGGTTGCCTGTTCACCCTGATGATTATTTCTTTTCCTGTGCAGAAGCTCTTTAGTTTAATTAGATCCCATTTGTCTATTTTCGCTTTTGTTGCCATTGCTCTTGGTGTTTTAGTCATGAAGTCTTTGCACATGACTATGTCCTGAATGGTATTGCCTAGGTTTTCTTCCAGTGTTTTTATGGTTTTAGGTCTTGTGTTTGAATCTTTAATCCATCTTGAGTTAATTTTTGTATAAGGTGTAAGCAAGGGATCTAGTTTCAGCTTCCTGTATATGGCTAGTATGGCTAGCCAGTTTTCCCAACACCATTTATTAAATAGAAAATCTTTCCCCCATTGCTTTTGTCAGGTTTGTCAAAGATCAGATGATCTTAGCTGTGTGGTGTTACTTCTGAGCCATCTGTTCTGTTCTATTGGTCTCTGTATCTGTTTTGGTACCAGTACCTTGCTGTTTTGATTACTGTAGCCTTGTAGTACAGTTTGAAGTCACGTAGCATGATGCCTCCTTTTTTTTTTTTTTTGCTTAGGATTGTCTTTGCTATGCAAATTCTTTCTTAGTTCCATATGAAATTTTAGGTGATTTTTTCCCCAATTCTGTGAAGAAAGTCAGTGGTAACTTGAAGGGGATACAATTGAATCTATAGATTACTTTGGGCAGTATGGCCATTTTCACGATACTGATTCTTTTTACCCGTGAGCATGGAATGTTTTTCCAATTGCTTGTGTCCTCTCTCATTTCCTTAAGCAATGGTTTGTAGTTCTCCTTGAAGAGGTCCTTCACATCCCATGTAAGTTGTATCCCTAGGTATTTAATTCTTTTTGTAGCAATTGTCAATGGGAGCTCACTTATGATTTGGCCCTCTGTTTTTCTGATACTGGTGTATAGGAATGCTTGCGATTTTTGCATATTGATTTTGTATCCTGAAACTTCGCTGAAGTTGCTTATCAGCTTAAGGAGATTTTGGGCTGAGATGATAGGGTCTTCTAAATATACAATCATGTCGTCTGCAAACAGAGACAATTTGACTTCCTCTTTACCTATTTAAATATGCTTTATTCCTTTCTCATTCCTGATTGCCCTGGCCAGAACTTCCAACACTATGTTGAATAGCAGTGGTGAGAGAAGGCATCCTTGTCTTGTGCTGGGTTTCAAAGGGAATGCTTCTAGTTTTTGCCCATTTGGTATGATACTGGTTGTGGGTTTGTCATAAATAGCTCTTATTTTGAGCTATATTCCATAAATATCTAGTTTATTGAGAGTTTTTAGCATGAAGGGCTGTTGAATTCTGTTGAAGGCATTCTCTGCATCTATTGACATAATCATGTGGTTTTTGTCTTTGGTTCTGTTTATGTGATGGATTACATTTATAAATTTGTGTATGTTGAACCAGCCTTGGATCCCAGGGAGGAATTCTACTTGATCATGTTGGATAAGCTTCTTGATGTGCTGTTGGATTCATTTTGCCAGTATTTTATTGAGGATTTTTCATTGATGTTCATCAGGGATATTGGCCTGAAATTTTCTTTTTTTGTGTGTGTGGGTGTCTCAGCCAGATTTTGGTATCAGGATGATTTTGACCTCATAAAAAGAGTTAGGGAGGATTTCTTCTTTTTCTATTGTTTGAACTAGTTTCAGAAGGAATGGTAAGTTCTTCTTTGTTCTTCTGGTAGAATTTGGCTGTGAAACCATCTGGTCTTGGACTATTTTTTGGTTGGTAGGCTATTAATTGCTGCCTCAATTTCAGAACCTGTCATTGGTCTATTCAGGGATTCCACTCCTTCCTAGTTTAGTCTTGGGAGGGTGCAAGTGTTCAGGAATTTATCAATTTCTTCTAGATTTTTTGGTTTAGTTGCACAGGGGTGTTTATAATATTATCTGATGGTAGTTTGTATTTCTATGGGATCGGTGGTGATATTGCCTTTATCATTGCATCTATTTGATTCTTCTCTCTTTGCTTCTTTATTAGTCTGGCTAGCAGTCTGTCTATTTTGTTAATCTCTTAAAAAAAACCAGCTCTTGGATTCAACGATTTTTTGAAGGTTTTTTTGTGTCTCTATCTCCTTAAGTTCTGCTCTGGTCTTAGTTGTTTCTTGTCTTCTGCTGGCTTTTGAATTTGTTTGTTCTTGCTTCTCTAGTTCTTTTAATTGTGATGTTAGGGTGTCAATTTTAGATCTTTCCTGCTTCCTCTTTTGGGCATTTAGTGCTATAAATGTCCCTCTACACACTGCTTTAAATATGTACCAGGGATTCTGATACATTGTGTTATTGTTCTCATTTGTTTCAAAGAACATCTTTATTTCTGCCTTCATTTCATTATTTATCCAGTAGTCATTCAGGAGCAGGTTGTTCAGTTTCCATGTAGTTGTGTGGTTTTGAGTGAGTTTCTTAATCTTGAGTTCTAACTTGACTGCACTATGGTCTGAGAGACTGTTATGATTTCTGTTCTTTTGCATTTGCTAAGGAGCATTTTACTTCCAATTATTTGGTCAGCTTCAGAATAGGTGTGATGTGGTGCTGAGAAGAATGTATATTTTGTTGATTTGGGATGAGAGTTCTGTAGGTGCCTATTAGGTCCACTTGGTCCAGAGCTGAGTTCAAGTCCTAGATATCCTTGTTAATTTTCTGTTTTATTGATCTAATATTGATAGTGGGGTGTTAAAATCTCTCTCTCCCTATTATTGTGTGGGAGTCTGAGTCTTTTTGTAGGTCTCTAGGAACTTGCTTTATGAATGTGGGTGCTCCTGCATTGGGTACATATATATTTAGGATAGTTAGCTCTTATTGTTGCATTGATCCTTTTACCATTTGTAATACCCTCCATTGTCTCTTTTGATCTTTGTCGGTTTAAAGTCTGTTTTATCAGAGACTAGGATTGCAACCACTGCCTTTTTTTGCTTTCAATTTGCTTGGTAAATCTTCCTCCATCTCTCTATTTTGAGCCTGTGTGGGTCTTTGCTTGTGAGATGGGTCTCCTGAATACAGCACATCTATGGGTCTTGACTCTTTATCCAATTTGCCAGTCTGTGTCTTTTAATTGGGCTAAATGTAATTTAGCCCATTTACATTTAAGGTTAATATTGTTATGTGTGAGTTTGATCCTGCCATTATGATGCTAGCTGGTTATTTTGCCCATTAGTTGATGCAGTTTCTTAACAGTGTTGTTTCTTTCCATGTTTTGTGCTTCCTTCAGGAGCTCTTGTAAGGTAGTCCTGGTAGTGACAAAATCTCTCAGCATTTGCTTTTCTGTAAAGGATTTTATTTCTCCTTTACTTATGAACCTTAGTTTGGCTGGATATGAAATTCTGGGTTCAAAATTCTTTTCTTTAAGAATGTTGATTATTGGCCCCCACTCTCTTCTGGCTTGTAGGGTTTCTGCCAAGAGATCCACTGTGAGTCTGATGTGCTTCCCTTTGTGGGTAACCTGACCTTTCTCTCTGGCTGCCCTTAGCATTTTTTCCTTCATTTCAACCCTGGTGAATCTGACGATTATGTGTCTTGGGGTTGCTCTTCTCTAGAAGTATCTTTTTGGTGGTATCTGTATTTCCTGAATTTGAATGTTGGCCTGCCTTGCTAGGTTGGGGAAGTTCTCCTGGATAATATCCTAAGAGTGTTTTCCAACTTGGTTTTATTCTCCCCATCCCTTTCAGTTACACCAATCGAACGTAGATTTGATCTTTTCATGTAATCCCATATTTCTTGGAGGCTTTGTTCATTTCTTTTCACTCTTTTTTCTCTAATCTTGTCTTCTCACTTTATTTCATTGAGTTGATCTTCAATCTCTGATTTCCTTTCTTCTGCTTGATTGATTCAGCTACTGAAAGTTGTGTATGCTTCACAAAGTTCCTGTGCTGTGTTTTTCAGCTCCATCAGGTCATTTATGTTCTTCTCTAAACTGGTCATTGTAGTTAGCATTTTGTCTAACTTTTTTCAGGGTTCTTAGCTTCCTCGCATTGGGTTAGAACATACTCCCCTGGCTCGAAGAAGTTTGTTATTATCCACCTTCTGAAGCCTGCTTCTGTCAATTCATCAAATTCATTCTCCATCCAGTTTTGTTCCCTTCCTGGCTAGGGGTTGTGATCCCTTGGAGGAAAAAGATATTGAATGCTTCATGAATTTACATGCCATCCTTGTGCAGCAGCCATGCTAATCTTTTCTGTATTGTTCCAATTTTAGTATATATGCGGCCGATGCCAGCACTGTCATGCTGTTTTGTTTGAAGTTTCCTGTATTAAAAAGTTTAGCCAATCAACAATGTATACGTATTTCACAACATTATGTTGCATCTGGTAAATACACACTATTTTGTCAATTTAAAAAATAAAATACCATATAAAAATGAAAAAATATACATTTGGTTACAAAGATGCACTTAACACAGAAATTTACCACAACCAAATTCCCTTCTTATAGCACAATAAAACCAGAAATAAATTTCTAAAATAGAATTTAATGGTCCTAAGATCAAGTAGATTAAAATGCTCATCTCTGGAAGGTATAGTGAAACTGGTCCACCACAGTGCAGTAGGATGCATGTTATAATCCTCTCAGCAATTGGAGGCACGTTCCAAAGCCATAAAAATGTTTGTGCATTTTTGTCTCACCAAAACAGCTAATGGGAATTTATCCTAAGGAAATATTCCAAAATAAAGAATACTATTTCATGGTTAAAAAAAAAAAAGTTAAACACAAACATGTCACCATTTTGCATATTTTGATAGCCAATTAATACCCAATTTTTCCTTTTTTATGTTTATTTAATTAATTTATTTAGAGACAGAGTCTTGCTCTGTCACCCAGGTTGAATTGCAGTGGCACCATCATAGCTCACTGTAGCCTCAGCTTCCCAGGTAGGTGGGACTATAGGCTCATGCTACTACACCAGTATTAAATGTTTTGAAATGTTTTTATTAGTCTGGTCAGTGTATCATCTAAGCAATTTTTTATTATAGCATTTACCTTTCACTTTGTAGGTAATGATCTTATTCCAGGATGGGTGTTTATTGGTGGAGACCTCAAGTTTAATTATGAACACACCAGTCAATTACCTCTTATTCTATCTAGTAAAATTATGGTGTAGTCAACATGTCTAAAAGAAAATACATGACCTTTTATGTTAGCACCTGTAGAAATACTGACTAAATAATAGCACCATGGTCTGTGAATCATTATTTCTGCTTTGTAATCTTGGCTGCATCTATCAAATTACATTCTTTTATTGCCATTCAGATGAATTGGTTTTGGAACATTGAAAGGAGAATGATGGGAATGAGTATTTTAAAAAAATATTTTAGCCTTGATATAAAGCTTTAAATAATTTTAAAGTATAATTAATTACAAATACACTAAGCATATTTTGTAATTGTTTGTCATATCTGTTATTGACATGTTTCACACTGAAATATAAAGTTTGGAAGTTTGTTGTCTTGTAGGAATGAGAAAACTTTGATAAGTGCTTCTGTTAAAAAAATGCTAATTCTTTAACATGGCTCCTTGCAAATGTTTCCGATAGAAATTAGTTTCTTCCATCTTTTCTGTCATGGAAATCAGTGAGAACAACAAAGTATGACATCTACATGTCTTCCACAAATAACAGAGGAATGAACACAAATTCGTTAGAGAGACTGACTGAAATTTTAATTACAGTTGACCCTTGCACAATGGGGTTAGGAGTACTGCCCCTGTACAGTCAAAATCCTGGCTCCTTTTAACTTTCCCAACACTTAACTACTAATAGCATACTGTTGGCCAGAAGCCTTACTAATAACATAAGCAGCAGATTAACACGTTTTGTATGTTTTATGTGTTATATACTGTATTCCTACAATGAAGTAAATTAGAGAAAAGAAAATATTATTAATGAAATTATAGGGAAGAGAAAGTATATTTATTCACTAAGTGAAAGTGAATCATCACAAAGGTCTTCATCCCCATTGTCTTCATGTTGAATAGGCCAAGGGGGATGAGGAAAAGGAGAAGTTGGTCTTGTTTCAGAGGTGACAGAGGTGGAAAACAAATCCACCTGTAAGTGGACACTTGCAGTTCAAACTCATGCTGTTTAAGAGTCAATTGTCAACTGCACTTATAAACAATCTTATTCTGCTCTTTTGTTCTCTGACTTTTCAAATTTTAAGTACCATCTTAAAGCATCACTTGACTTTGAAGCTAGGATGAACGTCTTAAATATTATGCTTATAGAGTTATAGTTCACTTTTCCTCTTTGATATCAGATGATATAAGCTGCTGGGCCATATGAGCTTCCTCATTGCTATAAGCAGGTAATTATAGATGCTCTACTTAAAAGAGACACTCAGAATGACTCATCTATACCAAAGTTCTGCTGTACAAATCCTTTTCTTTGAATCTGAAGCTACTATTGACTGAGTATCACAGAAGCAAACTTTAAGGTGCTTTGGAATTAGTGGTTATACATTTGTGCTACTCTAGGCACATGCTTGTTCTCGGCCTCCACTGTTTGATAACCTTGGGTTTGCAGAAGTCCTGGCTAGAGATACTGCTACAGTCTATGGCTGCAAAGCAGTTACTCATCATGTAAAACCATCTAGTAAAAAGAGTTTTTCTTGGGACCATGAGCTTATTACTGTGGTACTCTAATCAAACAAACCTTTTAACTACAACTATTAAGCTCAGTCAATGAACCTGAGGAGCTGAGGCCCATGAACTGAGACCTTGGAAGTAGCCGATGAGCTATTTTAATTCTTTTTAACACTGAAAATGTCTCGTTTTAGTACACTTGCTGTGATCTTTAAATATGTGGCTGCTTTACTGAAATGTGACCAAAACAATTTTTTCTTCACCATCTCCATCATAGTGGCTGGTTTCATTGCCTTAAATATTATTTATATACCAGCAATTTGAATAATTAGTGACTGGAGATTCTAAGGGGGAAAATATCTGTATACTCATCTATATACCAACAAGAAAACAACGATTTTTCATTTTTTTGTAATGTTTAATAATGTCTTCAAAAATTTTCTAAAGATGTGAGACTATTTTGAAAAATAGAAATAGCTTAAATTTTTCCCATTATAAAAGGAATGTACACTAATTGCAAGCAATCCAGAAGATACAAAATTAGGAGAAAATGAAATTCACCACAACCTCATCACTGGAAGACAATCTCTTTCAAATAAACAATTTGATGATGCACCTGCAGGACCTAGAAAAGCAAGAATAAACCAAACCCAAAATTAGCAGAAAGAAAGAAATGATAAAGGTCAGAGAAGAACTAAATTAAATAAAGACTATGTTATAAATACAATGAATTGACAAAAGAAAATGTTGGTTTTTCAAAAAGATACAATTTATAACCATGAGCTAGACTACCCAAGAAAGGAGAGAATTTCTAAATACACAAAATTTGAAATGAAGAAGGATGCATTACAATGGAAACAACAGATACAAAAGATCATCAGAGATTATTATGAACAACAATATACTAACCAACTGGAAAACCTAGAAGATATGGATAAATTTATGGACACACAAAATCTAACGAGTGTGTCAGGAAGAAAAAGAAAACCTGAATGAACTGATAATAAGTAGCAAGATGGAATCAGTAATAAAATGTTTCCCAACAAAGAAAAGCCCAGGACTAGATAAATTTTTTGCTAAATTCTACCAAATGTATAATATAAAGCAGAAATTTTAAAACTACCAATTCTCTTCAAACTATTTCAAAATATTGAAGGAGGAATTTTCCTTAACTCGTTCTATGATGCCAGCATTACTGTGTTGCCAAAACCAGACAAGGACATAAAATACAAAAAGAAAGCTACAAGCTCATATCCCTGATGAATATAGACACAAAAATCCTGTAGAAAAAATACCAGCAAACCAAACATAACAGCACACATAAAGATCAAGTGGGATTTATGTGAAGGATTTAAGGATGATTCAACATATGCAAATCAATAAACAATACGTCACATCAACGGAGTGAAGGACCAAAACCATATGATGATCTCAATAGACACAGAAAAAGCATTTCATAAAATTCAACATTCCTTCTAGACAAAAGCTCTCAACATATTAGGCATAGCAGAAACATACCTCAAAATTATAAGGGCTATATATTACAAACGCACAGCTGACCTCATACTGAATGGGGAAATTTAAAAACCCTTTGTCTAAGAACTGGAACAAGATAAGAATGTCCACTTTCACCACCCCCATCTAACATAGTACTGGAAGTTCTAGCCAGAGCAATCAGGTAAGAGAAAGAAATAAAAGTTAACCAAATTGGAAAAGACAAATTCAAATTGTCCCTCTTTGCAGGTGACATGATCTTATATTCAGAAAATCCAGCAGACTCCACCAAAAAAAATCTTAGATTTGATGAATTCAATAAGGTTTCAGGATACAAATCAACATATAAAAATCAGTAGAACTTTGGGAGGCCAAGACAGGCAGATCACTTCAGGTCAGGAGTTCAAGACCAGCCTGGCTAACATGGTGAAACCCTGTCTCTACTAAAAATGCAACAATTAGCCAGGCATGGTGATGCATGCCTGTAATACCAGCTATTCGGGAGGCTGAGGTAGGACAATTGCTTGAATTGGGAGGTGGAGTTTGCAGTAAGCCAGGATTGCACCGCTGGACTCCAGCCTGGGCAACAGAGTGAGACTCTGTCTGAAAAAAGAATATCAGTAGCATTTCTATATACCAATAATAAAATAATTGAAAAAGAAATCAAGAAGGCAATCTCATTTATAATATCTTAAAAAAATCTAGAAATAAATTTAACCAAGGAATTGAAAGATCTCTATGAGGAAAACTAAAACATTGTTGAAAGAAATTAAAGAGAACACCAGCAAATGGAAATACATTCCATGCTCATGGATCAAAGAATTAATATCATTAACCATATTGCCTAAAGCAATCTACAGATTCAAGGCAATCCCTATCAAAACACCCATGTCATTTTTTCACAGAAATAGATAAAACAATCCTAAAATTTGTATGCAACAAAAACAGGGCCAGAATAGCCAAAGCAATCCTGAGCAAAAAGAATAAAGCTGGAAGCATCACACTACCTGACTTCAAAATGTATTACAAGGCTATAGTAACCAAAACAGCATAGTCAGGTATTGATCGACCTATGACCTATGCAACTTACGACCATTCGACTTTACGACCACAGTCGCTAGCCACGACTGCTCCCCGTCTGGCAGCGCAAA